TTTGAGGCATGCCACATTTTCTTTCAAAGTGTCACATCCGCGTTTCCTGAGCGCACACACACACACACACACATACACACGTGACACGCACACACACACACACACACACACACACACACACACACACACACACACACACACACAGGGAGAGAGAGAGAGAGAGCATTTAAAAAAGAAAAACAATTATAAAACTGCGGATTTGTTGGAAAATTTATAAAAGAAAAACATTTATAAAAGAATAAGTGCGGATTTGTTGAAACATTTATAAAAGAAAAACATTTTTCTGCTGTCATTGAAAGGAACACTAATAAAAGAGATTTAACAACACACGCACACACACAGTGTATACTTTGAGCAATAGCAAACTTGAACAAGCATTCCACATCATCAACATGAAAGCCAAAAAGTCATGACCTCCAACCAAAAGCAGAATTGCAACCCCAATCACCCCTTGGGGCCCCCACATTTATGTCTGGGGTCGAAGGAGCTCATTGCAGGTTGTAGCCTCGCAGAGAGAGAGAGAGAGAGAGAGAGAGAGAGAGAGAGAGAGAGAGAGAGCATGTACACCGTTGTCGAACACTCGAACACCTAAAATATTGCACATACTCCGTAAATGCGTTGTGCAGAATTAATCATGATATGCATAGCCTGTGCATCGAACAATTGCATTCAACGCTGTCCACTAGCAATGTCTGTATCACCGCTGTCCACCATGGTCTCTGATGCACAGTCAAGCCATGTTTGAGCACGAAGTATTTCCTCTCCTGTTGATAGTGCCGGGTGCAATGTAGCACCAGAACCGCTGGCTACAGCCCCGTGCAAGAGGCAACTAAGGTTCAGGCCCCACGTAAGTGATGTTGCGAGGACAACCTAACTGTTGACCAAGACAAACCATGACTTCCCCATACGTGACCATATTTTTCCGTTCAAGCATGATCTCATGATGGTCGTCAGTGCTGCATACTGGAGTGCGCCCTCAGGTGTTGCGTCCTTCACCACGACACGCAACAGTAAATGGGGATTAAAGAATACACGTGTCAACCTAAGAATCGCATGTGCCCACCCTTTTGACGCTTGTCCTCCCCCTGCTTCCAAAGCCAAGTAGGCATCATATTCCTCACCCTCCTCGTCGCTGCTCACATCGCTGCCACTCACTCCCACCTCATAGTTAGGCAACCTCGCATATTTTTCATTGTTCCTCACTCTTGTTTCTTCAATGTCATATTCGAAATCGATCGGTAAAGAAGAGTCTTCGAACCCTCGTTTCCGTTGTTGTTCCGTCATTGTCCACTCATTGAACACATCTTCTTCTTCTACCTCCTCCGTGGACATTGTGTTTATTGGAGAACGCACGATGGAGACAGTTCTCACAATTTCTTCCCCTGATGAAGTGTGTCCATCTGCTGCATGAAGTGCAACATTTGCTTCCCTGGTCACCAACTTTCATCCTTCTTCCCTTGACCTCTTTCTGTCCACCTCAGAAACTGCAATGCTGAGGCGATGCAAAGCTGCCATTAATATTCCATCCCACAATGGAGTACCACATACGACATCCTCCTCCACACTCCGCACCCTGTAGTTAATGAGGTCCTTGCCCGCCAGTGCTTGCTCTGTCACATCATGCAATGCCTCATGTATGACATTTCGATCGTCAGGTTTCTTTTTCATGAAATCCACCAGTTGGTCGAGTAAAACATACTCCACCCCGTTTACAATAATTACAGGAAGATCTTGGAAGTCTTGTGGGGGAGCTTGCGGTATGTCCTTCAAATGCGACAGTACTAAAATTTATGTTGCACCGCTCTTCATCTCGTCCTTACAATCTTCAACAAGCATTCCCCATTTCTTCACCTGTGTCATAAGTATCTGCTTGAAATTGGCTGGCATGTATGTTTCACCCTTCTGCTGCTTTGTCATATCCACGTCCCCTTCATGAGACATCCCTTCTGTGCACATCCAACCAACCACTTTTCTCAAACTGTATGCACTGTTGTCTACACGCAAATCATGCGCCTCAGTGAACCGTGCCAATAGCATCCGTGCTCTGAGCGACTCCTCTCCGTTCGCAGCGATGCTTGCACGGATGTTCACTCTGACATCGAAGTAACTCGACACTCTCTCCGTGAGTAGTTCAAGCTCCCCGTCATCATCATAGTGGATGCCCTCCTCCGCGTATTGCATCACCTCTTGAAGAGTTGCCCTCACCTGTGCCATTGACATCGACATGATGGTTGTGCTTTTGTCTATGTGTCTGTAAGTGGAACGGCAAAACGATGATTTAAGCTCCATGAGGGTTTGTTTAATGTTCTTTGTGTGTCCCTCTGCTGGAAGTATGCGGTCGTTCGACGCTGCCAGTCAGTACACGGATATCTGACGAGGGTTCGCTACAGGGTGTCATTTTTTCTTCGAATCAATGAGATCGAAATGAATCCGGCACGCAGTAGTCAACTCCTCCGACCCTGCTCTCACTCTCCGCCCAAACCACTTCCCATTTGTGTCTGACAGTGGTAGGGTGTGTGCCGCGGTCCAATGACATGTTCCCCCCCCCCCCCAACACCGAATCTAGAATAACGTTGACCACCCAACCAAAGACAAAGCCACCATGACACCCCCAACTTCCCAAACGTGTGAAGCATTGTACGTATCATAGGGCCAAGAACCATTCATTCATAAAGCCATTCAGGGTAGAGTACAACTTACCTAAGACGGAATAGTCCTCTGCCAAGATCGTGTGTGTGTGTGTGTGTGTGTGTGTGTGTGTGTGTGTGTGTGTGTGTGTGTGTGTGTGTGTGTGTGTGTATGTGTGTGTGT